GTTAACCTCCCATTGATCTCCTGAACCCTCTTCAGGTTGTGGGGAGCCTTGGAGTCGAGGAATTCCTGAATATTGTCCTGGTTTTGTTAGATTCCTTCTTTGGTTATCCGGTAGCATAGGAATTGGCCCTCTTCTACTCCAAAGGTACACTTTCCTAGATTTAGTTTCATATGTGCTTGTGCGAGGGTCAAGAAGGTTTCCTCAATTTCTCCGAGTAATGCTGCTTCGTGACGGCTTTTGATAACCATGTCATCAACGTAAACCTCCATGTTCCTGTCGATTTGGTCGGCAAAGACTTTGTCCATCAGGCGCTGGTATGTTGCCCCAACGTTTTGGAGTCCAAACGACATTTTTTGGTAGCAGAACGTGCCACGATCGATGTAGAATGTTGTCTTTTCCTCGTCTTCCCTGTGCAATTGGACTTGGTGAATAGCCTTTGTAAGCATCGAGGAAGCACTTAAGTTGGAAGCCTTCCAAGGATTCAACATTTTGGTCTATCTTCGGGAGGGGGTAATGACCTTTTGGGCAGGCGTTGTTTAGGTCAGAGTAATAGATGCCCATTCACCACGACCCTTCATGTTTCGTTACCATCACGGGGTTAGCTGTCCAAGTGGGAAAAATTGTTTCCCGGAGAATGCCTACGCCTACCAGCTTTGCGACTTCCTCATCGATTGCCTTGCTCCTGTCGCCCGCTTGCCCCCCTCTTTTTTTGTTTGATTGGGACGGTTCCCGGTAAAATGTTTAAGCTATGTTCAATGAGCTTGCGGTCTACCCCCGTCATGTCTGCGGGTTGCCACGAGAATGCGTTGGAGAATTGTTTTAAGAGTGTGATTAACCTGGTTTTGGTTTCCACCGATAGGTCTGCACCCCCTCGTATTGCTTTCTCTAGATGATTCAGGTTGATCACGTGTTTCTCTGTGCGGCAGTCCTCTTTTGATATTTTTAGGGCTCGAATTAGTTCCGGGGCTGCAATAATCTGATGGTAAACATGTGGACGTGGGGTGCTAGCAAAAATTGTAGTTGAACCGGTACGCGTGTTGAACTTAATGGTATCATGGATGGTTGACGGTATGGCCTGCAAATGGTAAAGTGGCGGTCGTCCGAGTAGTATGTTTTACTCCGTTGGGAAACGGATTACTGAGAACTCGATCGTTCGTGTGATGCTTTCTTTCTCGTCATGGCTAACCAACGTAGGGGGAGGTGTCTGGTACCCAATGTCCGTTGGCTATGTCCTGCGAAACCAACCAAAGGATCGCCTGTTGGTGGTTATAGGTCTTCCTTCCAGGAACTCGGTAGCTTTCGGAAGCAATGTTCGTAGAGGATGTCGGTGCTACTGCCATTATCTACATAGACGCGGTGAATTTGCTTTTGGCGTATACATGCAGTAATTAGGAGCGGATCCTTGGGATTCCATTCGCGTGGTCTCGGGTCCTCTGAGGAAAATTTGATGTTCGATAGGTTTGTAGATAGCACCTCCACATCATTATCGAACTTGCGGCGCTCGTACCTCCTGTGTTTTCTTTTGATTGTAAGGACCTCGTTCTTGGGATCTTGATGTTGATTTGCGTAGGATTTGAACTCTGGTGGATGTTCCAGAGAAAGTGTTGTGTTCGGCGTGCTAACCACTACAGAGAACTGATTTCTGGACATTAAGAATTGTGCGGAAGGCGACATGGTCCATGGGAACCAAGTGTTTTCCCCCTTCTTCTGCGGTAGCAGTTGTGGCCGGAAAATTGCTGGTTGCAACAGCTTAGTCGTCGTCAACTGGGGCGTTGCGGTGGTGCTTGCGACCGACTGTTCTACTATGACAGGCGGCGATCGCCATATGTCAACGATTTCTGTTGTTGTGGTTTCCGCTATCTGACCTTGCATCTGTGTTGTTGGTGTGTGGGTGAAGGCTTGTCTGTCTAAGGTAGATGGATGTGTGCCATTGAGCGACGACGTTAGTCTTGTCGGGTGCGTTTCTCCCCCATCGGGCGTTGTAGGTACCTTTCCCGTCATTGTCGCCGTCTAGGGTTGTTTTAAAGTCGTGTAAGTCTGAGTACACGCCCGGATGGCGCCAAATGTTGTGATATGTCTTTGAGCTTAACGTCGTTGGAGGATTGTGTCGTTTGGTTAAACCTAAGAATCACAACAAAGAAAGAGTCGATGTTAGTCGTCGTCCGGGAGGGGGTACCAAAACGAGACTCTGATGGTCTAGTCAGTAAGTGTATGAGAGAATTAGAATTATGTATTAGATGGAGAGAGGGCGATCCCTTCTTTTGAAGAAGAAGAAGAGTCCTCTTATACCTGTTGCCTGGGGAGCATGTCCCCGACAACACCTCCTGCGTTGTTTGGAATGTTATGACGTGGAGACGTCCTATTGGTGAGTTATGCACCACTAGTGGTTATCCGCTATTGGTGCAGAGTTACTGAGGAGCAGCGCTCTGAGCGCTACACTTGTCGTTCTGGGGAGCAATCCGGTACTATTTTGGCCTGTTATGAGCCTTGGTGTTAGGACATCGGGCCCTAAGCACGAGGCCGCAAGGGCGAGGGCCCGGACCGAGCACTTAAATTGAGTAAAGACCATCAGCTAGGTCGTCCTTTGGATAATCATCCCATTACCTTTGACGTATTCTTGGAAGGATACGTTAACAGTTGTATTTTGTAAATGAAAATCTCTGTCCATATAAAAAAAATTTGGTTTTGTTTTTATTATAGTTTAGTATAGTTTGAAATGAATAAAAAAGGGGAGATTGTTAATTCAAACCATGTGACTTGATGAGCTAAAATATCTTCGGTACATTGCTTACTACATTGCTTACTGTTGGAGTTGATTGGTCTCAGTGTATGTCTATGCTGATCAGCATGAAGAATTGAAGACCCAAAAACATGATTATGGAAACTTGAGTGACAATTAGCTAATTCTATAAGCTTTGTGATAAGGATCAAGCTTATTCAATCAAGGTTGCGTTTCTATAATTTCAAAGACTCTAAGATCTTTAGGTATTGTTTTAACGGATGCACATAGTATTTGTTTAATGCCAATGTTTCAGTTTCATACGTCTTATGAATTTAATAGTTTTCTCTGTGAGAACTATTCTTGAGAGTGTGTTCTTAATCAGACAGTGTTATCTCATTACCTCCCATATTTATGAATTCGTTCTTAATCAATAAATATTTAGTTTATGTGTATTGTTCTTCGTGTTCCTTTCATTCTTTGTTGTTGATTGCATTGTTGAGGACCACTAGTAGGTAGGTATTATATGCATCTCTAAAATTACCATTGTAAGTATATATATTTAATAAAAAACGAACAACTTAGATAAATATATATAAAATAAATAACTCACATTTTTATATAAATATATTCTCACTTTATCATATGGAATCTATAATTGCTACAAAAAATACATGAATGTATATTTAGTTTTAGTTGATAACACGCGTAAAAAATTAGTTTTCAACACACTTCCACCTGAGTTGCACATATAAATTCGGACCTACTCCAGATTTTCTACCCATTCGCACTTAAAGACCCCGTGTTTATTGAGACTTCCAGAAACATAATTTTCTTAGTTTGCTAGCACAAATATAAATTAAAATATTTTATTAGCAAATTCAAATATATTATATTTATGATGACATTTTCGCAAATGACATTTCTCTTTCATTTTTTGATGAGAAATGACATTTATGCATATATCATTTGCAAAAATGAAATTTTCTCAGAAATTTTTTAATTGAAAAGTGTTATTTTCGCAAATGATATTTGTGAAAATTACATAATTTCTCGGTCATTTTTGCTTATAAATAAATATTTCACTACTTATATCTTACTAAACATTTAAAAAAGAAACAATAACGTTAAATAAACTTTTAATACATTAAAACATGATCTTTAAAACACGATGAGTGTTTAGGAGTAACATTAAGAACTATATGTTTGATAGTGTCTTTAGGAGAATTTTCAGTTTCCATTTTTTATAAAGTGAATGAAAAGATGAGAAATGTTTCACTACTTATACATCTAATATGTGGAACCCATTATTTTCGCAGATAATATCTACTAAAGATGTGTATACCATCTGCGAAAATCACTAAAACGACATTATTTTAGGTCTTATTTGTTTTTTAAAATGTAAAATATATGTAGTCTGCGAATCACATCTATCGAAATCTACAGAAAAAGATGGTCTACCATTTTAGGTATACGGTATTCTAAAAATAAATGATTGCACACCGACGACAAAAGAGTTCAATAAGCTTTTTTTAACAAAAAAACAAACAATTGTGATTTCACATATATTTTTTTTGAACCGACAGACTAACCTATTCATAAACCATCTATGTCTCCTAACGGAGACTAGAACCCATGACCTCTTATTTGAGAGTGTCACTCCTTACCGCTATGTGAAATTTATCGCTATCACGATAATCTCTTTAATTTTATTATTATAGTTGTTTGTGATTGCATATTTAAAATACTTATTAATTTATTGCGGTTTGACATTACGAATAAACAATTTTTAGTATTTGGATAAATTAAAACTAAAAATTATTGTTGACTTATATAATAAGTTTTTAATAAATTCGTGTTTTAAACTATCTAAAAATAGCTTACGACTTATTTAAACCAATTTACCATATTAACCTTATTGTAACTATATATTTATATAATTCGATCATTATTTGTCATTTTGTACGTAAAAACATCAAATGCTACAAACACTTTATTAGTTTATTACGTTTTAATACCAAATAAAATAGTCTAAACTCATTAAAAAAATTAGTATAAGAAAAACTAATAAAAACTTTTACAAAATAAATAGAGATTTTTTTTAATAAACAATCCCAAAAACCCCAATCCTAAAAAATATGAAAATTTGACAATTTATTTTCTTAGTTTTAAAGTTAAAATTAGTTTTGTGCGTACGAATTCGATAATTTATAGAAAAAAATGTTAAATTTATTTTGTTTTCTTGAAAAGACAAAATACAATTGAGATTTTTTGAACGGGCTTATTAATTCATTTTCCCATAATTTTGCGAGACATATAACGCTCCCACAAATATCCAACTCCAACAGGGGTTCCCGGAGAAATGGATTTGCGGTTGCCGACTACAACTGCTCTTTTCCGGCCACCAACAACTTCATATATTTTACCTTCTTCATCAACCTTCTCCTTTCCCTTCTCATATTCAAGAAATGGATTTCGATGCTCCATGACAACAACCTTTACATCATCCCCACCACAGGTACTCGATTCTCTCCCTTCTCGATTTCCCCTCTTCCCATCCGTATTTCTCATATTTAATTCCCCCCTTCTCTTTATTTCCTTTGATTCAGATAAATGAAACAGAATTAGAAAACAAGAAATATGACTTGTTGAAAGCTGTTCAAGACACTCAGCGTGGACTTACCACTACCCCTAACCAACGCTCGGAAATTGAAGAGTCTTTGGTAGGCCTCTTCGCTTTAATTTCCATGCATCAATGGCGAATTCAGATTGATTCCATAGTTATGTAGTATGATGGTGGAAAGGAATGGGATTTTGTAGGTGGATTTGGAGAGTTGTCGAGTGGATAATGAACCAATTGATTTGGAGAAATTGGATGGAACATGGCGATTGCAGTATACATCTGCCTCTGATGTTCTTGTTCTTCTTGATTCTTCCTCTAGACTTCCCTTTTTTCAGGTTTTCGGTTGCTTTAGTGATCCTCATCTCTTTCCCCTTGTTTATCTCTTACAATATTGCAGATTCCCTTTGTTGATATACGTGAATTGCTATATGATGATTAGGTTGGCCAGATATTTCAGAAGTTTGAATGCAAGGGTAAAGATAATGGAGGCTACATCCGCAATGTTGTTCGTTGGAGTATTCCTAGATTGTTGGAGGTATGTACATGATTTTATTAAGTAATGACATAATTAATCATTAAATCAAAACTTTGCTAGTGGTTTAAAAGGAAACAATTACTTTAGAACATGTATGAAATTATGAATCAAAATATATGTATAGCACTTTACTTGTAGTCCAAAATCCGTTTGTGTTTGGGATTAAACGAGCCGTATACAAGTGTGCAGTTCGCACCATCTTATCTGTATTAGATCACAGTCTAAATCCCTCGTGACACTCGTATAAATTCCAATTAAAATAAATGGTTAGATGACACTAAATCACCAACAACATCCACGTCTTTTGCAAAGACGAGAGATCAAGAGTGTCACTATCCCACTTTGTTCCACCTTTTCACATGGGACAAAAAATTGCAATGATTGTCCCATGTCCAAGGCATACCAAACACAGTATAACCTGTTCTTTCTGAAGTACTGTTACAACATGTGCTTTTTACAGGACAACGAAGGTGCTACCCTCCTTGTATCTGCAAAATTTTCTATCGTGTCCCGGCGTAACATCTACCTGCAGTTTGAAGAGGTCGGTTAATATCATTGATCTATCATAAAAATAAAATGAAAAAAAAATAAAAAATAAAATGAATTTTTGGTAGCATTTTTGTTTCAATGGCAGATATCTCTTCAAAATATAAATATAAGTGACGAATTGCAAGCTCTAATAGCCCCGGCATTACTGCCACGCTCATTCTTGACCTTACAGGTAAACTCATAGTATTAATTATTTGTTTTGATTTTTAATTACATCAAAATCAAATTATGTGATTTATTTTTTTGTATTTACTTTTAGATATTGCAAGCAATTCGTTCTTTTAAAGCTCAAGTTCCAGTGAGTACCACAAGCCCAGGAAGGTACATTCACAAACTTATTATAAGCTATTTTGCATCAGATTTCAAGAAATAACAGATTTATTTATTTATCATATAAGATAAGAATGGAAATAAATAAACTTGGTATATGACGTGGCAGGCAATCGGTGGGAGGACTTTACTACCTTTCATATCTGGACAGGAATATGCTTGTGGGTCGAGCGGTGGGAGGTGGTGGTGTATTTGTATTTACTCGAGCTCAAAACTTCGTGTAATTTACCCATTTTGCCCATTGTAATTTGTATCACCTACCTTATTCTTATTACAATTGTACCATAATATTTCATTTTGCAAATACAAAAATGGAAATTAGATTTTTGGATGTTTACGTTAAATATAACATCATATAGTTATGCCCTCAAGGATTCGATTTTTGACAGCCGAGCGATGAGAGTCTCAATTCCAATATGGATTGGGTTTCTTGAGTACATTGTTATTGAGCTCTTATAGTAGCTATCATCTATATTGATGTATCATGTATATTTGATTTAAATGCAACAATTCCCAATTCCCGTGTTGATTTTAAGGAGAGAAGTGAGAGGAATTGAAAAGAAAAATGAAAAAAATTATGCTCCTTAGTTTTTCTAAAGGAGAAAAAAGGGATGACGATTTCTTATAATCACGGGTGTATGCGGCAAAGCAAATACTCATTCGTCCCAAAATTATTGTCTACATATAAAAAACACACAAATTAAGGAAACATTAATTACTACTAATTTTATTAAATGAAATGACAGTTGTACCCTTTTGTTGCATTTAATTCCACGGTAGTTTAACAAATAATGAAGGGTACTATTGGTAAAAGAGATATTTATTTTTAAAAGTAGACTATTATTTTGGGACAAACCAAAAAAGAAACATGAACTATTAATATGGGATAGAGGAAATATAAGGTTATCGTTTATGATTTTACCCTTCAACATAAATATAAAAATGATCACATAACCTCTAATTTTCGATTTTCTTCGACGCTTCTCACATACTAAGTGTTTTCTACAAGGTTCTAAATAACGTAAGGCGTGACTTGGCGGCAATGTCAAGCCTCAAGTTTTTCCGAGTCTTGGCGAGCCACGTCGTTTGTAAGGCGTCACTTAAGACGGCAAATTTGTATATAATTAATATTTTTATATGTATTTTCAGTTATTATTCTATTTTATACACATATATGAGTTAAGGCGGTGTTTTGGTAAAGCTCGGCGGCATGCACAAGCCTTGGAGCCATGGCGGAACCGTGACGAGCTTTTTAGAACCTTGGTTTTCTATCATCAATAACTTCATATTTTTCCATTCAACCTAACTTTCTTTTTGTTCGGACTAGGAAACGCAAATATATAAATATCTTTTTTCCCGTTCTTTTATTGTTTTCTCCTTATTTTTCTTTCGGTTACCAAATTCGGGAACAGAGCTTAAAGATTATATATATATATATATATATATATATATATATATATATATATATATATATATATATATATAGTTTGTTGACATTTGATTTGAACAATCTGAAAATGAAATGAAAGTACGTTTTGATAATTGAAAAGTAATAAAAAGATGATGAAAATTGGATAGCTGATTGAATATTGTGATTTTGAGATAAAGAACATGTTGTCAATTTTTGTTTCAGGTAATCAAAGTTTTATTTAATTATGTATGACAAGTCATCAAAATTTGCATTTCAAATATGTTTCTTGAAATAGAAAAAATAACAACTAAAATTAATTTGTATTTTTAGTTTTATCAGATAAAATGAGGGAAGTGAAGTGATAATAAACAAGTGAGGTGTCAATTGTGAAATTAATTCGAACTTTCCTCTTTCTTCCATAACCATATAAATCTGAGACCTCACCTTAACGGATAATAAAATCCTCTGCCCTAAAACCTTTAGCAGTTGACAAGTGCCATAACCCAATCGGCAAATTAATAATGACATCTCCGGCGATATTCTCCACCGCAACGTCAATCAATTTACCTCCATCCACCGCCAATAATCGTGTAATTTCCCCCTTTTTATGTGCTCCCGCTTGTGATTGCTCTCTAACTCGTAGAATCACCAACAACAAAAGATCGAATCTGCGTCTACGGATCAAAGCAGCGGCGTCGGACTCCACGGCGATCGTTGACAATCCAACGGCGGCGTCCACTTCTGAAGAAGAAGAAGGAATTAAGGCGAAGATCGGAGCTAGGGTTAGGGTTAAAGTGCCGTTGAAGGTTTATCATATACCTAAAGTATCGGAAGTAGAGTTGAATGGGAAGGAAGGCAAAATCAAAGATAACATCTCCGTTTGGAAAGGGAAACACATTTCGGCTAATTTTCCTTACAAGATTGAGTTCTTCGAGAAACTTGAAGGTCGCGGCGACTCTCCTGTGAAGTTCTTCGCACACCTCAAGGAAGATGAATTTGAATATATTGATTGATTCATGACTTTTGGTTGAAAAACACCTATTCAATCTCCGATTTCATATTATTAATAGTATATCATATTTCATTAGCGTCTAGTTCTGGATTTTGATTCGCCTGTCGCATTCATTTTTCATCAATTTTCGTTGGTATATAGAGCTTCATAAGTTTTGTAAACAAATTGTGGTCGTATATTAGCTTCATAGTTTACAGCATCTCTGTGATTCTTACATAATTTGATTGAGTTCACTTGATCCCCTGAGATCCACCAGATTTACTCAGACAATCATCAACACTTTGATGTCGATGATCAGGATCTCGCCATTCAACTTGTCTCAAGTGAGAATCTATAGCTCTAAATTCTGTATTCTCATTTGATTCGAGTGTGTGGTTGTATCCCTCCCCCATCTTTGCTTCTTCAAGAAGACTGTATCACGGAACAAGCAACCGCTTGTGCCCAGTGCCTCAACTTTGCCTTGACCTGCTGCGGATCTTCTCCTGCAAAATTCCATGAATTTGTTTATGGATTTAGGTGGTGGAGGATGGAGATGGTTGATTTCGGAAATTCACAAACCTGGGCTACAAATCTTCCATGGATCTTCATTGCCGAACGACGATGTTCCTGATTTTGACGACAGTGAACCTATCACGTCAAGTTTAGGTCCCGGTGAGACGTTACCGCCGTTAGGGCTGCCGAGCCTGTTGACGGCGAAGTAAATATCAAGGGCGGGTAGGGTGTTGGTCAACCGTTGACCGCCTTCATCATCATTGAACCCAAACCCTAACTCCAGGCAACCTTTGAGCTCTTTGAGATCTTCCGACAACTCATCAGTTGCTGCAGAGCCAGATTCATCTTTCTTCTTCTTCTTCTTTTCTTTTATGAGATTGAGACGGCGCCTCCTCTCCCAGGCAACATTCTGGGGGCTCTCGCTCAAGGATAGCTGTTTCAACAGGGCTCTCCGTTTCTTCCACAGCGGCGTTGGGCGTGGTGATGTGGGTTTGAGAGGCGGCAATGGCAATGGAACAATCATGGATTGATTGGTCTTGGGCTCACCCATTTTTGAGATGGATGTTGGGGGCGGGGGGCCACGGTGGAGCAGCGGCGGGACGGCCGCCTGAACCAACCGTGACAGGTCACAGGTAGTGGTGGAGGAAGAAGGTGAATTATTTGTGTGGAGGGAAACATCAAATATGGGATTGGTATTATGTTTGTAAACGAGGGTGAGAGAGTGAGAGTAGGAGGAGAGCCTTTTTGTGCTTCTAATTTGGTTGTTTAAATCAGTGGGCATAATTTACCATCCTAAATCTATGGTTGATTAATCATTTATAAGTGCGATTCAACATGTATTTACTAAGTATTAAAATTAGTGGCTTTTTCATTTGCAAAGTCATGATTCAAGTATTGTGTGGTGATAGTTAGGAATAAATTAGTTTGTTGTTTCAAATAAAAAAAATATATATTATAAAATATGAAGCTAAATAATAAAGTAGAAAATGAGATTGTAAAGATTTTATGTTATTATTATTAAAAATGGTTATTGTCATTGTAGCCTAACAATGTTTAGTATATTGGTTTAAATGGTCCATCGTGATTTTTTTTGCCTTTGAAGGATAAGAACTTGTGTTTTTAAGTTTTAAAATGTCATTATGGGTCACCCGGTGATCCCCTCCTAATCATCAATTTGTATATACCACGTCGGTGTGATTTTTCCTCATCCTAATCATCAGTTTCCCTCAACCCACATTGACTTTCAAAAGTCAAGGTAAATGAATGTGATTGAGAGTTGTGTTTTGTTGGAGTTGTCGGATGGAGACCCATTTGGGAATCGATTTGATTGAGATGAATGCGATTGAGAGTTGTGTTTTGTTAAGAATCTAACGAGTAAGTGAAGTAAACCGGAGACGAATAACAAAACGGCCAAAATCACGACAATGAATAGAACAAGTGTGCCGATTTTTTGAGAAGATGAAGAAGGGGATGATGTTTTATGGAAAGTTACAGTAAATGGAGGTGAAATCGATGATTATAAGTAAACCGGAGCTACAATGGCAAACGATGAGTCGTCATCTACACGTATAGCCTCCGGAGAACCACCTCCCTCCACCACTACAGCCCTCTCCACCCCCTTCACCGAAAACTCACTTTACTCCTCCAAAACGCTATCGAGCTCATTTTTAAACCGCAGTTCAACAAATCCTCTGGTGCAACGCCGTTTCCATTGGGAAGGTACACAGTGTGTGAAGAAGTAATGAGATTCGTCTAGTTTCACGGCGGCTTTGTCCTTGGCGAACAACCACTAGATTTCATCGGTGACACGAGCGAGAGTCACGATGACGTTGCTGCCTTGTCGGAGACGGATTATTTCAAACACCTTAGAAGCTAATTGGATGCTCTGTTGTTGTTTTTCGATTAAGTGAACGATTGATCCGGGGAATTTTATTACAACTTACTCTGAAGATTCAAAAGTTGTTGATTGTTGTTGTTCATGGCTTTGATCGTTGTCCAGGAACAGTTTCTCAGTGAGATCTTTGGTATCGAGTGATGGGTGCATGGATGGAGATGAAGGATTTGATGATAAAAATGAGGAATATAAATCTGGGTTTGATTGATCGACTTGTGCGTATAGAGTTTTAGAGGAGTGTGACACTATGTTTGATTGTACTTGTTGCATGTTTTCAAGATTTTGGGGATATTGTTGACTCACCTGCTTACTTGGCACTTGACAAAGCAGTGTTACTTTCTAATGTGGGTAAAAGTACCAAAATTACTAGTAAAATACAAGTTGATACCCTTTAAAGGCAAAAAAACCACAATGGACCATTTAAACCATTATACTAAAGATTGTTGGGCTACAGTGACAATAACTAGGGGTGAGCATAACCGGGTACCCGGCTAAATTTGAAGGAACCGAAACCGGAACCGGCAGTTCCCATGATTTTGGAACCGGAACCTGTTGTATCGGTTCTCAATTTTTTGGAACCGAAACTGGAACCAGCGGTTCCGGTTCCAGCTCTGGATATCCGCTTTAAAAATAAAAATAAAAAAAGGAATCCCAAAATAAAAGGTTACCACAATTAGTCCTTTCATAAATGCTCCCGTATTCTTTTATAGACAATGAGTTATTGTCACTATAGCCCAACAAACTTTAGTATATTGGTTTAAATGGTCCCTCATGACTTTTTTTTTGTAGTTTAGGGGCATAAAGTCTATTTTTACCTGCTAAAAAGGGCCCATGACTTATTATTACCGGTATTCTTGATGACATAGCTTTTTTTTCATAAGTTATAAGAATTAAGTGCAGGCATTGACTTGACTTTTTGGCATATACTCGTACACTAATAAATTAGTTTCCTGGTTGGAGCAGAACCCTAATAATCTCACGATATGTCGATGTCTGATTCTTCCTAGGGTTTGAATCTCGATATTGAATCCATGGTTGTGAGAAAAACCACGGCTCATGGCTGGCAATCTATTCACTGCAACAAGTTCATTATTGGGCATGGCGCCTTTGTAAACAATCACGACTCCTCCTTTTCCGATGATGTTATCTTCCTTTAAAGAATCGAGAACATCATCGCAAGTGAAATCTAGGCGTTGGAAAGTAGTAAGCTTCCATGATCGAGCTTTGCAAGCTCTCTTGATAGATTGAGCTTTGATGATTGCTGCAATGGTGAAGGCGATGGAACAGAGGAGTATGCCAAGAACGAGAAGAAGTTTTACAGAGGCGGAGATTGGTGATTTTGAATGTGGTTGATAGGTGGCGTTTGCGATTCCTTCTTTACAAGGTCCATCGAGTAAAAGCTTCTGCACACCGGAAAATTGGCTAATGGCGACCGAGATTCGCTGACACAGAATTGGTCGCCGGGAATTCGCCGGAGAGAAGATTGTTCTGAAGTTCAACCTGTGAGAGATGAGGCAAACTGAAAAGCCCTTTTGGAATCGAACCATTGAGGAAATTTTCTCCCATTCAGATTCGATTCAGCGATTGGCATTCACCAAGAGACTCCGGAATCAGACCAAATAAAAAGTTTCCCAAAGTGATTATCGTTTCAAGTTTGTTTCCATTGCATAGATTGGGAGGAAGTGAACTTGTTAATTTGTTGGAAGACAGATCAAGGATTTGTAGCTTTCTGTTCCTGCCAAGGCCTTGAGGAATGCCTCCGGTGAAGTTGTTTTCCCAGAGCTGTAATACCTCCAGCTCCGACAGTTCGCCGATGAAATCAGGAATCGATCCGTGGAGTTTGTTTCAGAACAGATTGAGTAAGGTGAGATTGTTGAATTTAGGGAAGAATGAGGATAGTAGGCAGATGCGATCAAGGAAGCAATGAGAGAGAACAAAGGCTTTCACCACCGACATAGTTTTAACAGGAAAAATCCACGTAGATGACATATGGGCGCCACGTGGACCATTTTCAGTTGACCAAATGCCATGTGGCATATCAAAACTGATGAGTAGGAAGGGGTTCACCGGGTGACCCATTCATATTTTTTATAATGGCCTTTTAAAATGGTAAAACACAAATACGTACCCTAAAAGGCCAAAAAAAAGTCATGAGGGGCCATTTAAACCAATATACTAAAGTTTGTTGGGCTATAGTGACAATAACCCATAGACAATTCTCTCATTGTTAACTTATGTAAGGAACCGATGTGAGATATTTTGTTTCTAACCCACTCTTCATATATTTATTATAGGTAAAATAATGGGATGGTAATAACTAATAAGAACATGACATAGTTCCGATTTAAGATTTGTATGGAAAAAAATTTAAAAACCTAAAAAGACTAGCTTAACACCATTTATGATTTGAAGGGAATCATAAATTGGTAGGTTATTAAAATTAAGAAAACAAAATAATTCTTGATTACAACACAGTAGAAGAATTTTATATATAAAGTATCATTATTTCTATTTCGTCACATACTAATAGAGTGTAACCAATTCATTGGATCAAATGTTTACTTTATGATAACTCAAAACGTATCTGCCTTGAATTCTATCATTAAATATAGGGAGTTGATTTCATGGAGAATACGATAGGAAACAAAAGTATATCATGAAATTAAAGAAACAAAAACCAAATAATCAGGGAAAATGATTTGAATTAATATGAATCAAAACTACGTCGATTTAGAATAATGGTTTTATATGTAACACTAGTTTATAACCCGTGAGAACCACAGTTATAAAATTAATTAAACTTTCATATTAAAAAATCAAAATTATTAATCAATTATTTTAAATAAATTATTAATTAAGAGATTTTTTTAGTTATATAATTATAATCTTTGATTTAAATAAATACGTAAAGTTATATCACCTTATAATTTGTATTAATTTTATTTTATTTTTTAATCTAATGTTATTAATTAACAATATTAAAGTGAAAAATTTTAAAATTTAATGTAATTAGGGTGGGAAATTTAAAATTTGAAATTTGAAAAGGATAATTAATATATTGACAAATGGCATGACATGTGACATATAATATTAATGAGAAATTCTAATATAATGACACTTGTCAATAGGAGAATAAACATATTCATTTGTTAGAATAGGGATTAGTATTTATACATATACACACCGGTTCTAGCGGGTAGCGGTTCCAAAAAATGAGAACCGGAACCGGAACCGCTTAAGGCGGTTCCAAAATTTTACGAACCGGAACCGGCAGTTCCGAGGCGGTTCTGGTTCCGGAACCAGCAGTTCCGAGGCGGTCCGATTCCGGAAGCGGGTACCCTGTTTCAATGCTCACCCTAACAATAACCCTATTAAAAACAACCAAGCATTTTCAGTATATAATACTCATTATTTATAATAGAAAAAAAATCATTATTTATACTAGAAAAAAAATGAAAGATGAACTATATTATGAATGCCTTTTCAGTGGTGCATAGCTATACTATAAAACTCATAATAATGTGTTACTAATGCTCACTAATGATGGAGAAAGATGGGAAAATATGGAGAACCTATGATTATTCACTAAATAATGTTTTATAACACTCCCCCTTGAATAACGATTGTATCATGCATCGTTAAAACTTTAATAGGTAAAATCTCATGGAAAAAAACCATTATAAAGGAAAAAGAGTACATGATTAATAATAGACATTGGAAATTCTTGTCTCGTTAAAAACTTTGCTAAGAAAACTCAGTGGGAAAAACTTAGTTAAGGAAAATAGTACAATATGTTTCCAACTCCTCCTGATGGACGCACTACTTGATTTCCTTGAAGCACCGCATACCAATGTTTCTTACCATCTTTTCAAATTTGGATGTAGGAAGTGCTTTAGTAAACAAATCGGTCAACTTGTTACTTGACTGGATTTTCTGGATGTTGATGTCACACTTCTTTTGAAGATCATAAGTGAAAAATAACTTTGGCGATATATGTTTGGTTTTGTCTCATTTGATAAATCACTCCTTGAATTGGGCTATACAAACCTGTTAGAGTGCAAAGTTCTCCTTGGATGTGGTTTACCCTCTTTGAATGTGTAATGAGTTTAGCCTTTCCTATAAATAGGAAGTGAATGGCTCCCATTTTATGTAAGAATAACCATTTGTGAGATTAGTCTAGTGAGAGATTATTACAAGACCCACTTTGTAATAGCTTACTAGATTAATGAGAGCTTAAACGGATTATTTACTCTTTGTGGTTTGATTGATTCACTTAATCTTTACATTTTCGCATCCGTCATCATAACTGAGTCACTACAATTGGTATCAGAGTGGGTGCTTGAAGTTATCAAGAAGTTGATCCATGATGACAACATGATTTGGTGAATCACATATTGTTGCAAGTTCTTCATTTTTTAGAGTATTTTTGGTTATAGAAATCGAATTGTTCTTTGATCTTGATTCAAATTCGATTTCCCCCTCTCTAGAATTTATGTGATTTTCGCTTTCTCTCTCTAGAATTCATGTCGAAATCACTTTCTCTCTCTAGAATTTTGATCAATTTTGCTTTCTTTTTCTAGAAGTTCATTCGAATTTTGCTTTCTCTCTCTAAAGATTTCTTTCAAATTCACTTTCTCTCTCTAGAAATATTCAAGTTCTTGTGATTTTTTTGTTAATTGGTCAAAGATGGTGTGTTTGGATTATGATTATTGGATCAAGATAATTGAATATGTCAAGTACAAAGTCAATGAAGAACAATATTATGGATTATTGTTGAAAGGTGGATTGATTACATGAAATACTTTGATTTCTTATGGGAACAAGAAAGATGATTTTGGAAAATTGATCTTTCAACCTCTTTGTAAGATCAAAAATCTGATTAATTTAACAATGGATATGTTAGTTTGGGATGGAAATAAAAAGGAGGGAAGAGAAAAAGAATTGTTCAGAAATCAATATGTTTCGCTAATTGAAGATCCAAGTGATCTTCATGCTCTTGAATTTATTGAATATGTTCTTGAAGATCATAAAGATGTTCTTGAAGAAGTTCATCTTGGTCATGATGTTCAAAACAAGGGAATTCAATGTGAATCTCAAGAGGTTGTGAAAGTCTTTTGTTCAATTGGAGTTCAAACTGATGATTGTTTGTATTCTTGTGATTCGTTTGAATGAATGGTGCCGTATAGAAAGCCTTCAATCCAAGATGTTCAAATGTATCAAACTCCAAAAGATTTGATTCAAAAATGCAAAGTTCAAATTGTAAAGAATAAAGTTGTTCTTAAATTCGAATCTTCAAATCCAAAAGATGAAGAAAAAGAAGAAAAAGAAAAAGAAGACCAACATCATGAAAATTTGGGTTTCTAAATAAAATTCTTCAAATGTCGTTTTGAAGCCGAAATCAATGAAGAAAGTTTGGGTTCCAAAGAAAAAATCATCAAATTCTGTTATGGAATCAAATTCCAAACCCAAAATTGTTGAAGGTTCTCAAATTCGTTATGAAGATAAGTTAGATCTTTGAGAAATGAGAAGAAGTTCCATGGATGGTACAATGTGCATCATGGGTGGTACAATGTGAAATTTGGAGATTTCTTAATTCCAACCAAGGAACCTAGATCTTCCATGTTTGATTCATGCATTGCAAATGGAAAAAGGATTTTCAAGGATGTTTCACAAATTCTCAAACGGATGCCCAAAAATTCTTGTTGAATTCGATACCTCTTTTATTGAAGAATCAATGATGAAATGAAGATGATAAAAATTCGTATGGTCTTGTTATTGTTCATCATGAGTTAAATAATTTATCCATTCAATTTTCAAGCCCCATCTTCGAATTATTACTATTCATTCGATCCAAAACTCAATCAAATTTTAATCTATTGTTCATCTGATCCAAAATTCGAGCCCAAACTAATTCTCGTCACAGTTCATTATTTTAAGCCCAAATCGAAATTCATTTCTTCATATATTTCTTTCTCTCGCATCAGTCGAGTATTTCGAGTCTCTCAATCGAAGTCAATTGTTGGGGTAGTAATCGAATGGAAAAAGGTTTTAATGAATTTCGAATTTATTTTCAATTGTATTTGGACTTTGTAATCTCTCAATCGGAACTCGCAATGGAAGTCTATGATTCGAAGTTAAAATCGAGTGGGTGGATGATTTTGATTTTCGAATCAGATCTTTGATGTCGATTTGTTGATGACAAGTAATCGTAGTCGTGACTGAAAATTATGTGTGGTTCATTTATTTTTGGAACAATAGAAAGTTGAAGAGTGTTTATGAGTCGATTCAATTGAAAAGTCAAAATCAAATTTTTGATTGTGATTCAATGTAATCTGGAAGTCGAAATCAAACTTGATGGTCGAACTCAAGTTTCAGTCGAGACTTTCAATTGGAATGTGAATTGGAATCGAGAGTCGATTTTGGATGATGATTTCTGTGGAATCGATATTTGGATGACTATTTATTATCTTAATGATCATGATTTTCCTACCCCATCTCTATCTCTATATATATTAAAAGAGAAACATGATGGCATCATCTTCAACAATCAGGGTCATTCATTGTGTTTCTTTGATTAATTTCAACCCTTAGATCATTTTGATGATATCATCCTAAAATAAAATTAAATTAAATTAATATTGACTAAATTTGAAAGTTTGACTAACTGATTTAATGTTAACGTCATTTATAAAAGGAATGTATTCAACTCATTTAAACCTCATCATAATTTTTGAAAGTAAATTTCGTTCATCCCTAATTAAAATCACGTTCTTAGCTGACACCTTTCGTATATTCTTTCAATTCACATCTATTATAAGAAACGTATCTACAATATTACGAGATATCGTCGCTCAATTTCAGAGAATCAAAGAATTCGAAATTTGATATGTTTTCCATAATCATTGTTGAAAGTTATGTATAAATCATGTGTTGTTGTTCATACATTATGTTTTCTTCAGACCCTTTGCAGCATCACGTTCGAACAACATCACCCTTTGCAGCATCAAGTTCATGTACAAGACCATTAAAGCTCATAATTTACCATTTATATAATTAGAGTTTTCAGCATTAAATTGGATTTTTCATCAATAAGATTATATCCAAGTCATAACATTGAACTATTTTATTGCTCAAAAATCTAATTCCACAAGTTCAAAGGATAAACTCGTGAAGTTACGGTTTCAAATCCACCATTTTCTAAACCTAAGGGTGTGTTTGGGATTGCTTTTTGAACATAAAAGTTCTTTTTGTAAAAGGACTTTTTGTAAAAGAACTTTGTCTAAAAGATGGTGTTTAAAATGTGTTTGGTTTGTCTTTTATGACTTTTAAGTGATAAAAGCTAAAAGTCACAAAAAGATAGGAATTCCTATCTTTTCTCCAGCCAACTTTTCCTTCTTGACTAAAAGTTGGTTTTAAAAGATCTTTTTAATTTGCCAAACAACTTTTAGTAATTTTTAACTTTTTGAAAAAGTTAAAAGTCAAAAAGATGATTAAAAGGAAATGTCAAACACCCCCTAATTTTAGCTTATATCATTATATTAGTGTTAGAAACTTAGAATTCAACACTAAGGTTGAACTACTCACAAAGTTCATCATCAAATTCACAAATGTTAGAAGCTTAAATGACTAAGAAATGGATGTAAAGTTCATCATCAAATTCAGATTTGAAGAAGATACACAAATGTTATAAGCTTAAATGACTAAGAAATGGATGTAAAGTTCATCATCAAATTCAGATTTAAAGAAGATTCACAAATGTTAGAAGCTTAAATGACTAACAAATGGATGAGACGACTACCTTACAAGCTTCTCCTTGAAGAATTTGACTTAGAACACCATTAGATTTTCAAAATCGTTTTCCAGTTACATCAAGTAGTTCTCAAAATCATTTTTAATGTCTTTCGTCATGCTCCCAGTCATTATAACGAAAAGAATACATGGAATTGGGGTCTTAGCTTTAAATTTCGACAATATGGCAAAATAAACGCTTCCACTCTCTTAATATCGACTTTGATCCAAAAAGACAACTATCACTTTGATCTAACATCTCTATCTTTAACCCTAAAATGTTAATATATTAACAATTTAGTCCAAATTCAAGTTCACTAAGTTAAGTAAAAGCCATGCCTAAGTTTTTAGAATTGGTAAGATTAACCCCTCAACATTTTTAACTTTGATTTAATTCGTAAATAATTATCCATATAACATTCTAGTTTCATGTTTTCAAATTCAACCCTAAATGTGAAAATTGTTACATTTTAAGTCCAAACTCTAATTAAAATGACTTTATTTAAGAGTCATTTCTTAACTCACAATCTTAAAGCTTTTGACCTAACTTATCATCTAAATAATAAATTACTTTTAATTAATTATTTTGAATTAACCATTGAAAATTTAAATCAGATATTTTTCTTTATATATATATATATATATATATATATATATATATATATATATATATATTCACTCTAATTTTAAACTTCTGGCCTCAAATTATTATGAGTGTTCAGGGTAAGGCCGGTTCTAAAGAATTAAATATCTTCAAAGGCGCTGGACGAGTCAGAAAAAGGGCCCTTTCGTTATTATAAGTTTTTATTTTTAAATAAAATACATATATAATAAAAATATTAGGCCCTGTGCAGCTGCCCATTTTGCCCCCCCCCCCCCCCCCCCCCCCCCATATATTTTTCTTTATATATATATATATATATATATATATATATATATATATTCACTCTAATTTTAAACTTCTGGCCTCAAATTATTATGAGTGTTAAGGCCGGTTCTAAAGAATTAAATATCTTCAAAGGCCCTAGACGAGCCAGAAAAAGGGCCCTTTCGTTACTATAAGTTTTTATTTTTAAATAAAATACATATATAATAAAAATATTAGGCCCTGTGCAGCTGCCCATTTTTCCCGGCGGCAAGTACAAGCCTTGGAGTTATGACGAGCTTTTTAGAACCTTACGGGTGTTACAGTATCTTAGAACATTAACCACTGCATAATAGCCATTTTGCGGGAAAAAAAATATGCGAATAATATAGAAATACATAAAAATATAGAAACAAGTAAAATCATACATGGATTTGAAATTTTGGCTGTTTAAACTTTAAATCATAAATTATGTACAAAGAAAAGGTTCATGAATCACTTAAGACGATTTCGCAAAAGTTATTTGAATGCCATCAAAAAGTAACAATCAAAAATGTTTGCTTACTTTAACATCTTCGACGATTTATATCGACATATTGTTTAGAAAACGGATAGACCACCGTCTTCCTCATTAAATTCTTCTTAAGATAATATAGACATATTCATTTGGAATAATATCAAAATATATCAAAATATTTAGCTACTAGAAGTGGTATTTTGCTAATATACAATGTGTTTTTGTCAAATGTTGGTGGCCAATTTCTAACAGAGATTAGAAGATTGATCTTCAGGTAGGTGGCTTCCATACATAGTCATCATTTTAATAAATAGCCATTAATGAAAATATTTTAATTAATTAAATTAAACAGCTAATAAGGAGTGAGCATTTTCATCAATGATTTTGCCTATAGCTTTATATAGTACATAGTATATAGTATATACATCCATAATACCTGGAACGTATTCAGTTGTGACAAACTCAATATTGTATCAGCAATTTGAGATCAAAACCGGATGCAGATCTACAATTTGATCAAAATCATTAAATTAGTCGATATACTCAAACTCATCATCTCTAAGATGCGCGAAGAACTTCACAGGAGCATCGCCACGCCCTTCAAGTTTCTCCAGGAACTCGATTTTGTAAGGAAAATTAGCCGAAATCTGCTTCCCCTTCCAAAGGGCGACGTATTCTTTGATTTTACCTTCCTTCCCGTTCAATTCTACTTCTTGTACTTTAGGTATATGATAAACCTTCAACGGCACCTTTACTCTAACCCTAGCGCCGATCTTCGCTGGACTTTCTTCTTCTGAAGCGGAAGCCGATGTCGGATCGTCGATGATTGCCGTGGAACTGGAATCTGATGCCGCTGATTTGATCCGTGGAAGCAGATTCGATCTTTTGTTGTTTGCGTTTCTGAATGTTAGAGAGTAATCGGAAACACAAGCACATACCATTGGAGAGATTACACGGTGGTTGATGGTGGAGAGAGGTGCCGGTGCGGCGGAGAATATCGCCGTAGATGTCATTTCGATCTGATATCGGATTGTGGTTGGAGGATTTGTTATCCATTGCAGTGAGGCTTTGAAATTATATGGACATGAAATAAAGAAGAAAATTCCAGTGACACGTCATTCGTTTATTATCCCTATGTTTTTTTTATTTTTTTAATTTAAATATATATATATATATATATTTCAAAATTTTCCCGGCAAAAAAGAGTTTGTAATGATAAATAAAGGGAAATTTCCAGAAAATTCCTAAAATTTTAGTCTAATTTATGATAAAGTCCCAAACTAAATTTTGTTTACAGAAAAGCACATAATACCGCTTAAAACTTCGAAAAAATCCTTTTCGGCTGGTTTCGCAGATTTAGCCGGTATTCTATCTTTTTTCGTTAGTTTGCCTAAAATTTTGGGACTTTACCGGAAACTACATGATAACCAAAATATTGAGACGTTTCTGAAAATTGTCATGGAATTAATGAATATTATTATTAACAAATCATTTATAAACATAACAAATATTTTTGTTATAAAAAAGAAATACACTTGTTGCTAATTTCTATGAATAAATTGGTGGTCTAAGTACTCATCTATTGCTTATTGACCACATCAAACTCTCTACGTTCCTCTTATGCATCGTTGTGGGTATGATGGTGACATGTACTCACTGAGTGCTCATCTAATGTTGGTGTTCCTCTTACGTTGTTTAACCTAACTACCACCCAACATCCATACTTCACACGGTAACAACCATAGGCTAACACACATCTATCAAATGTGAAAAAGTGAATCGTGAATGGTAGTTTATATCGAAACAAGTGTAGGGTGATTATCTATTTAAATTGTCATTCAAAGTTTATTTTTCACTATGTGTGTAATTTGATGGTTGTTACCGAATAATGTATAGAGGCTAGGTGGTATTTAGGTTAAAGAACATAATGAAAGATCTATATGTTCAAGAATCATTATGTAATAATATTTTCTAATAACATGTGATCCTATAGCGTCACACCTAATAGAAAGTAGACACTTATTGATTGTGTATTGATAAATATTATCAACTCTTGTATTTAATTGAAGAAACTTACATAATACATCTCACTATGACATCGACAACGATACATAGGAGGAACATAAGGAGTTTAAAGTGGTCAACAAACAATAGACCTAGTCGACCATTCTATTCCTAGAAATTAGAAACAAATGTATTTCCTTTGTTTATAATAAAAAATATTTGTTATGTTTATAAATGATATGTTAATAATAATATCCATTAATTTCATTGTAATTTTCAGAAAAAATCCCAATATTTTGGTTATCGGGTAATTTTCAAAAAAATCCTAATATTTTGAGCAAACGAACGAAAAAGGACAGAATACCGGTTAGATCTACGAAACCGGCCAAAAAGGGTTTTTTCGAAGTTTTAGCCGGTATTTTGTGCTTTTCTATAAACAAAATTTAATTTGAGACTTTTTCATAAGTTGGACTAAAATTTTAGGACTTTTCTAGAGATTTCCCATAAATAAATACACAAATTGTTTTTTGTTCCCTATTATTTTCATCCGTTTATATAAGAGGATTTTAGCAATACTTTTCTTTTAACTAACAATCACAACAAGAGGTTTGAACACAATTCTCTTGTATTAAGATATATGGTATATGCAACCAAATTAATCTTCTACAAATTTGACCACTAATAGGATCTAAAAACAATATGAAATTATAAAATTTGGACCCATATAAATGATAAAGTAGTAAAGATGTAAAAATTCATAACAATTGTTCAAGTTTGAAGTCAAATATTATCTTTTTTGCTCCATAAACGTTGTGATTTATCTTTCTCACGTTAGCCGACCGTATATCTTTTTTTGAATTGACAAAAATCATCTACCAAATAGAAATTTCACATAAAAAGAAAGATTGGCTTCTTTTTATATTTAAGGGTAACCAATATATAGATTGCATATTGTTGTGTCAGACTGTCAGTCGGGTTCGGGTTCTCTGATGGATGTAGGTGTCATGGATGGATTCATGACTAGAAACTTGGTAACAAAACAAAGAGAATATCGTTAGGTTTGTCCCAGAAATTGTGTCTCGAGAACAGTCTAAATTGATCGGATTGAATTATTGGGTATAGTGATTCGGCTCCTTTGACAAAAGGGAGTCGACTCTTGAAACGGCAATGTAGGGGTGTGGAGAAGAGTAGCATAATGTTCCTTGTGTAAAGAGAGGGAGCGGAGATAAAGATACTAACTCCACGAGATTATGAAGTCTAAGGGATGCCTTAGATGGATGGATGGATGAGCTCTTCTATTTATACGGCAATAAAATAGAGAAATATGGATAGTTAGGACCCTCCCCTTTACACCATTACATATATGAAGATTATGAATAACTTTCAAAGTACCAAAAAAGTTGAAGTACTTTTAACTTGCATTTCACAAAATCCCTGAGTAGAAAATATATAGTTTGATTATTTAATTATCATAACCCTCGTGTTTGATGGTAACGATTTGAAATTGAAGTAATTTTTTCTATCAAACTTGACATTTTACACTAATTCTTTTTTATTTTTGAAGGATCTTATAAATTCTTCCAACATCTCTTCTTACTGTCAAGAACTAAAACTCTTGCAGATAAACTAAACATCTCCCTGTCTTTCAACTTATAGGTGGCCTCACACTATGATAGCATTGAACCACTCGTTCAACAATCTAATCCCCTACCGGCCTTTTACGATGCACAGTCGAAACTAGTAGTCGAAGAAACAAGAAAAGCTAAATAAGTTGTCGCTAGCACCACTTTAACTTTAAAAAGTCCATCCACCACCAACCCTTCTCATGCACCAACCACCCACAATGGCAACTCCCACACTCAAACTCTTGCGACACCTCAACAAACTAGCCCCAACCCACTAGGGATCCCATTTCCGCCTTGGGCTGACTTGCATGGTCAGCATTACCTTGCATATATCCAACATCATGGAATCGACCCCCACTCCATGTTGGACGCACCCTAGCAACACAATGTCAAGATATATCTTTCTTTTAAGACTTTTACAAACAAACATGATTTGATGTGTCAAAAGCATTCATCATCAAACTAATGAAATTAAAGAATATAAGAGGGAGCGATTCAAAACCAAAAACAAAATATGATAACTTGCCATGTTTCCTTGGGTCTCTTAACTTCGCATCATTAGAGTTCGAGTACACAAGCCGCAAATGAGATCTACTACAACCTTAAGATCTTTTGGTTTTTATCATCTAAAATTTACAAGAGAACTTCATATTTGTTGACTGAAATGGCTATGCAAAAATTAAAATTAAATATTGGTGTCAAAATCAAATGTATCATATAGACATGGAAAACATGTTGTGCCGTGTTAGGTATTGTGTTTTGTCAACATAAATGGGTAGAGAGTGTTTGACCATTACCCAATCCATTTAGTTAACGTTTTGTGTTGTTTCAACCAGTTTATTTTCATGTTGAGTTTGTGTCAGGTTTCAAGTTTGGAGTATTTCTTGAAATGGGTTGTGGCATTTGAGGTTGAAACGTTTAACATCTTGAAAAAGTATGAATTAGGTAAGCGTAAAAGAAAAAGTAATAGTTGGAAGACAAAATAGTTAAATTCATGGTAAATTTAGAGAGCAAAAAGTAAAAAGTGTGAGTTGGGAGGCAAAAGACAAGCTCATGAAGAGGAGGGAGCAATCACGGGACTGTGTAGTTTATGAGATAACATAAAAAAATAAATTAGGTCTTGACTTAAACAACTAAGTCGTTTCCACGTTACAAAATGACCCAACCCAAATGTTTTCTTTCACATGGTTTGGTTTTGGATCTTTCTAGTTTATTTAAAGAAGTCAAAAAAACTTACATACAAATTACAAACTCTCAACCCTAACCTTACTCGTTCTTACCCAAACTTGTTAATTTCGTATTGAGATCATGACAGTTTTCATGTCATGTCACCTTATGCCACCATATTATAAAGATAATCTCTCTAAAACAAAAAAGTTGTCAAAAGACTTCTCACAAGAAATGCTCACACTTCTCATTTTGAAAATTAAATATTATCATATCTAGTGGTCATTTCCATCTTCATACTCGTATAAAATAATACCATGACGAATCCACTAATTCTTTCTTTTAATCCCTCTGTTGATTTTGACATTTATCTTGATCTATTGAGCAGGAAGATAAATAAAAACAAAAGAGAGGAGAATACTTGATTTCTCCACTATTTTAGTTGTTACAAGACTATTCCTTTGTTAATGAAAAATTAAGACATACTACTAAATGGAATTTCAAACCTATATTTTTTTAAGCCGATCCACATATCATGAGACTTGGATTTTTTTTTTTTTAATATTCCATTTCAGAACATGAAAACGCATGTATCTAACATAAAAGAGCAGTCTCTGTACAGTCTAGTCTGTCTTAAAAAGAAAAAAGAACATAATATAATTCAAAGTAGTAAACCTACAAATTAATCACCAACCAACCCCCACTAAACTTGCAACGCAAAAACAAAAGGTAGTAGTAATAATAATAATAATAATAATACTTTAATTAACTAATAAACTACCTGGGTGGCTTGGTCATGAGGATGAGGTGAAGTTTCTTTTTGTAGCTTCCATTTTCAAAAGCAAATCCTTAATCTCTCTTTCCATTCTTAGCTTCATATTGAAATACTCCTGATGTGCATTTTCCAAAGCTTGTAACTCCTCAAACTTTTGTCTTCTGATTTCCTCAGCCTCTGAGAAATGCAACTTTGCAACTCTACTAGCAAACTCCTCATCAATCTTCTTACTTTTAGCCTGTGCAATCCTATTCAGACCTTCTGCTTCTCTTCTTGCATCATCTGCACGCATTTGAAACATCTGAGCCTCTGCTAACTTAATCCTCACAATCCCATCCAGCTCATCAAAAACCGGTTCACGTGGGATCACAGGTACTGGTTTCAAATGAACCATTGCTCTTTCTCTCTCTCCATATCCAGGTTTCACTACTTCTTGTGGGATTTGAATGCTCTCTGACTTCAAACTATCATCATCTGCAATCAGTAGTAGTTTAAAATTTAAACTTTAAAACAACAGAAAAATGAAAAGTTGGGTTTAAAATTTAAATCATCAAAAACATACCAGTAAGAAAACCCATGACAAAGGTCCGAACTTGATGAACATTTGCCTTGTCAGACAGCCTAGTCAGCATCTGGAGAGAGATTTCATGAAGTCTTTTCCCACGAATATCCTCACTGGCAGAAAAGATTCTTCTAACATATTCAAGCTCATTCGACAGTGTCTCAGCTGTCCAACCTTTAGCAAAATTCTGAAAAACTTCTCTCACAAACCCAAACATCTCAGAGGGGTGATCACACGCAACACAATGAAACTGCATCTCGGTTTGACTTTGACCCGGGGCCCGATTCGCACTTCTCCCATTTCTGATGTAGGATTCGCGTATCCCACAGTCTGTGTGACACCAATGCAGACACACATCACATCCCACCCAACTACATGTGTTTGATGCCATGTCAAATTTTGAACACACTAGACACATACACGCACTACAAAACCCCTTTTTCTGAACACAAATCTTGCAGTCGCATTCGTCAACGGGTATGTAGCTTCGACATGTGAGGTTTCTGCATCTTATGTTGAGAAAGATTTCTGCCAGGTCAGACGATGACATGTCACTGTTGGATTGGAGAAAATCTTGGATACCGGTTTTTAAAGCTACGAGTATCTCGATTTGAGTAGTGTGGGCTTTTGAGAGAATCTCTAAGGTTATATCTGACCTTTTTTCGAGAGATTTACGAAAGGTGGAAAATTGTCTTCGTTTGCTTGGATTTAAAATGACATCACGGGCGGATTCTTTTAGATTTGTGAGGGACGACGTTGTCATTTCACTTAAGATTCTTGACACGATGTGAACTGGATCTGAAACCACCATTGCGAGAAGAGGCTCAACCATTTCAGTGGTCTGACTTAAAGAGCCAATAGCTTCTCTCATTAATCGTTTCCTATCTTTATGATGCTCTGAACCAGTTTCGTGGGACCCAACACTTTGTGATCCTGATGGCTTCTTGTTGTTGCTACTTAGCTGTCTTTCAAGTCCAATTGGTAATTTATAACTTCCTTCTGAAACTTTAGTGGTGTGTAATTGTAAGGATTGAGCATTTGGAAGAGGTTGAGAAGTGTGAGAGTGATGAAAGATACCATTTCCATTTGAGAGGCTCATTTGAATGGGAGGAGGTTCTTGGTTCTTGTGGGTGTCATCTAGAGGCTGAACCTGCCATGTCACACCTTGAAACAATGGACGACTTCCAACAGATTGTTCAAAGTCGAATGAAGTTTCAGTTAGAGAACAGCTAGGGTTGTGGGTGTAGTGTTGAGAACCAGAAAAAGATCTTGATAATGTGAATCCATCAGAACTTGTTTGAAAAGAACTTGCATGTGACTGAATGCTCATTTCTTGACTTGGAGAATCTGGACCCTGAATCGGGTTTTGAGAACCAATAGGTAAAAGAACACTTGGTAAACGAAGAGAAAGTTCAAGTGGTTCTAATGAGAGTTTCTCATCTTTTGGTTTGCTTACTCCTTTTTGCTCAATACTTTCACTCTTTTTAACTGGATCTGTAAAGAACAAATCAAAACCACGTGTACTTGGTCCTTCTATGTCAATTTCCTTGCTATGCAATAAACCACTTGATCCGTTTTCATTAACATGGGAGTCTGAAACAAAAACACTTTTTCCCTTATCTTTGAAATTATGGGTCAGTTCTTTTGTCACAAAAGAATGAGTAACAAATCCAGATGAAACATGTTGTTCTTCATTTTCTGTTACCTGTCCTTGTGTATTTGTATCCATGCTCATATTCTCCCCCTTGACTTCAAGAGTTGTATCATTTACTTGTTTAGGTTTTGTTTCCTCAGGTTTAACATCTTTAGCTTCCTCTTTGTGATCATTATAAGCTTGGCTTTGTTCTGCTGCATCCTTCTTTTGGCTATCTGACAAAAACGGAACTGCAACTCCATTTTCACCTGTTCTCTGGGTTGAAGAATCTTCAGAAGTTGATGATTCATTAACTTTGTTAATTACAGGTACTGGTTCTTCGATATCAGTAACAACACATGTTGGATCACCCTTGGATTCTTCCACACATTTGTCATCAATGGGATTTTCATGTTTTAATGGCCCAGAAGGTGGATCTTCAGTGATGTTCTGGACAATAGGAGCAGGTTCGGGATCAGGTTCAAGCTCTCCTTCTTCTCTTTCACTATTGTTTCCACTTTCTTCTGGAAGACTTTCACTCTTCTTCACTTCAAGACTCTTTGAAGACTTTGACTGCTCGCTTCCAGAGTCCTTTGACCATGGTGGTGACTTTGCATCTCTCCCTCCCTGTGGGGACCTCGCATTACCAACTTCTTCTGAAGCTGCTTTACTTCCTCTAGCAGAATCACTGCCACTCTTTGTGCTTTCCTCCACATCTTTCCCTCCACCAAACCGCCTCCATGAAGAAACACTTCCCTCTCGCCTTGACCGATCTCTTTCTGATCTAAACCCTTTAGGGAAATCTCTCCTTGGCCCTGAAAAACTTTCAGATCTGTGTATCCGATCACCACCATATCCACCACGAGGGGATGAACTCAAGATTCCCCTCTCATTACTATCCCTATACCTGTCATAACTCTTTCTCCTCTCGTAACTGTCAATATCATAATCTGACCTTTTCCGTGTCAACTTTGGATTCTTAAGATCATCATCTACCCTTTCATAACGTGAAGAAGAAGAAGAGGATAAACCCCGTTTCCCACTTTCAGACTTGTAATGATAACTTCTGTGAGATGAAGACTGGTGCAAATTTGAATCATCGTCCTTTCTTCCCCAATCCTTAAAAACACCCTTTTCTCCTCCATAAGAGTTAAGATCATCACTCGACTTCAATCTCTTCATATTTAATCAAAAATCACTACCACGGCAACAGATAAATCAAAAAGAGGACCATAAAACAAACCTCTCACCTTCAGCAATTACTAATCAGACATCATCATTCTTCAGTTTGTTAGCGAAAAAAGCATAAATTGTCAAGTGTGAACCGCTAAATCTGAAGAAAGCACAGATAACATCAAAACGGCCCAGATATCTTCAAATACTTCCAAAGTACCAAACCGCTCTTTCGAAAACCCTAGATTTTAGCTGATAAAACCACGGCGGTTACAACAACAGCGTCGACATATAGATCTCAATCTATCATCCAAACAACTAAACCGAACTGCATAAACAACAAATACAAATATACAAGCAAAGATAAACGACCACGAGGATCCTAATTTACGTTTTCTTCTTGTTCCCTTTCAAAACCCTAAGTTTAAAAAGATAGGTACAAGGAAATGGACAGTTGAACAGCACAGATTCAATAAAATTATAGAAGAGCAGCAGGTCGAATATATCACCGGAAATAACGTCGGCAAAGGTCGAAGGTGCGATTCCGGCAACACAAAATGGTTGAAATTTGTAGCTTTTTGACAAAGAGAGAGAGAAGTTATTATCTCAGTCAACGTAGCTTTAACTAATGGGGAAACAGAGATAAAGAGGAGAGAGACTTGGATACGCAAGGTGCGCAGAGCGCATAGTTGGACCTTTGGAAAAGAGTGGGTATGTAGTGCGCATACCCAGCGCATGTTAGTTGACAAATTAGTCAACGAGAAATTTGAAAGTTGAAAGTTGAAACGACAAGGGTCACAGATTTCCACGTCAGCATTGATTTCCAATCACTTCAAGTAACGACGAAAATAATTATAAAAAAATCTGAATTCCGGAATTCCCCAAAGTCTTCCACGTTTCAACGTCTCCGCTTTATTTTTCTTTCCGCTTGTCAATTATTTTTATTTAAATTATTTGGGAAAATAATTTGCACGGTAATTATTTTATTAATTTTGTTTACGTTTTGGCTAAAAAAGACACATATTTTATCATATAAACATTTATGAAGTATTTTTATTGGTTGAAACTGTATTGTTTTTAAAAAAAATAACTATAAATAGTTAATTATAGTTTATCTTTTGATAAATATGTCAATAAGGTGTCTAAGAGGTATCAATTTAGCCTTTTATTTTGTATACGATTTTCTAACAAATTTATTAAAAACGTTCAAATATTATTATTATAATCTACTATTTTAGATTATAGTTTATTTGGCGTCTAGATGACAAATTAAAACACAAAAATAACTTATGAAGGTAATGATTGTCTGTTTTGTTCGTATTTATATAATTTTTTTATATGATTTGACCATTCAAATGCTAGCATTTGTAACGAATATTCGGTTTTGATTATTAAGTAATTGTGAAATATATCTTCTAAATTTGGATTTTTTTTAAAAAAAATATTGTATTTTTTTATATATTGTTCTGAATAAAATTGATTTGGTTGAATCTTTATAGAGAAGAAATAACTACAAATCCGCTATGGAAAAAATAACTATAAAAGTTGTTACAGAAAAATAGTTATGAGATTTACTACGGAAATATAGCTATGAAATTTATGATGATAAAAATGGTTACGGAAATATGGCTACCAAATAACATTTTAAGCATCACTTTTGTTAGGCGTGTCAAACCCAACAAATAAATGGGTACAAATGACTCCAAAAACACTGTTACTTTGCACTAAAAACGTAATACAAGGTAAGCAGGGTCGATCCACAGAGACACGGGACAAATGCTTATATCTTTTTGCGCAAGGTACAATATGATCACAAAAGAGGGGGATTTAAATGCAATGATTCAAATAAGAGCTAATTTAATGAGTAAGCAATTGATTAAGTGAAATAAGTTCAAGATTTGTAAGTACTCCAACTCTATGCAAGACAAATTAGCAATGTGATTCCATGGATGACAAGATATTTGTTTAATTCTATCTAAGTTGGTACTTGAAAGTGTTAACAAGCTCTAACACTTCCCATTCACCACAATAATTAACCAAAACAAGCTCTTTGATTAATCCTAACCTTACTAACCTAATCTAAACAAGCTCTTAGAATTAGATTGAAAGGTTGCTTTAAACTTTATGTGAATGTTCCCAACAACACTCAATACTCCTCACAAGCTCGGGAGTGTAAAAGTGTGTGAAAAGATTTACACTAAATTCATTCAATAGAAATCAAATTAGTGCTTGTTACCTAGTCCAATTTACAAAACAATTACGGATTTTGCAATTAGATAACTTGAATGATCTAACCCTAATTCAAATGGCCAATAAGAATCACAATTAGAATCAAACATTCGATTGAGACAAAATCAAATTCACTAGATAGAAAATTGAAAGCAAACATCAAGTCATATGATTGAAATCACAACTAGAAGTCAAGACATAAAGTTGGAGAATCTAGGGTTCTAGCCACTCATGACTAGAACAAGATCACAAATCTAGAAAATGAAATTAAAGTTCTTACAAAATGAAATCAAATGTTCCCAAGTGTTAATCAACTTCAAAATCCTCAAGAAAATCGCCTTCTCTACTCCAAAAGTCGACCCCCCAAAGTAAAAAGTCGGTTCCCCCCCTTAAAAATGGTGAAAAACTGCTTTAAAACCCGCATTTACGTTTACACGGCCCGCGTAAATTAACACTGTCATTTACACGGCCCGCGTAAACGCAAAAATATACTGTGCAGAAATCTACGTTTACACGGCCCGTGTAAACGCAAGGCTTGCATTTACACGGCCGTGTAAATCTCTGTAAAGCCAAAATCTTCATTTCTTTGATATCTTGCTCCTCGATGCTCCGCAAGTCCTGAAATTTTGTCCGCAACTTTTATTTACATCCTCCAACAATATCCTACCTCCAAAAGTCCCTAAAATATCACAAAAGTATGTGAATGAAATTGCCTCATGAAAAATCCCGAAAAACATGCAAAATGCATGAGTTTAAGCCTATATGCAATGTACTTTTATGAAATAAAGCTACAAAATGGGTACATGAAATGCACCTAACAACTTTAAAGATTAAAGACATTTCTAATTAAAAGTGGAAGTCTGAAACTATCAAAAAACTCAAACGAAATAAAACATTGTTTAAAAATAATACAATGGATAATCGCAATCGATATCAAGACACTTATTCATCAAATAAGTCTCTAAGCTATTTCAAACATAATTAATGACATATTTATTATGTTCGTATGACAATTTTTTCTTCGCAATCTGCACCATGATGCATGTTTTCTCTCATGGGTATATGTTAAAATAACACGTTTGGATGAAAAACTTAGTAAGTCATACAAGGGTTAGACATCATAAAATCATACATAAAATAACATTCACTTTTCATCGTAAACCATCTGTAGAACAATATTTATATTTATACATCTTTATAGAGAAAAAATTTGCATGTACACGAGTATGTAGTCTCTTCACAAATATACGAGTACGAAAAAATGAAAAATGATCAGTGATTTATTCAATATTATATATGTCGTCAAACTCTTTTTATTTCAAAATTGCTTGTAAAATATACGAATACAACATATTGTGAAAAATAATATATGGTATACATCGTTACAAAGCACATTATGGTTATTGAAAGTACTTAACATCATAAGCATATTGGAATGAAAGAAATATGAGTATCAAAATAAGCAAAGGGATAAATGGTTTTTTTTTGCTATTATTAGATAATTCATAATCGATAATAATTGGTTTATCAACATAAAAAAATCCAATGTGCGTCATAAATGTCATTGAACACTTCTAACAAGCTCGATGGTTAATCGTGTACAAAAAAAATGTTTCATAAATATGAACAAATCACAAAGATAGTTACTCTCCTAAATCATTTTTCGTTTTAATTTGCCAAGTAGATGTCATGTATACGTCAATTATGTAACGTCTCAAAAATTACAAAGAGATATTCGGTTCATGAAATAGATTAACCATTTAAAACCTTTATTTCAAAACCATTGAGTGGCATCTGTTTGATTGAAACCTACATTATCATAGTTAAATTTACAAAACCGCAAAAACAGATATCTTCGATACGTGTGTAGAGTCCCACCAAGCTCTTCTCACAAACGATCTGCAAAATATGCAATCCACAACTGTAAGCATAAAGCTTAGTGAGTTCCCCAGTATATACCGCATATTACTGTTGGATTAGTGTCTAAGTCCATAACTATTTTGGTATGTACTTGACCTGATTATGAGCATGGTCCTTTTGGGTTGCCTTCACCATAGCAACTTGTAGGATGAATTAAGGAGAGAAAGGTTTAATTATGATTTATTAATATATTATAAGAATAATATATTAAAGGAAAAATCATATTGTTTAATTAATATTAGTCAAGAATTAATTAAGAATTAATTTAGTGACTAAAGGAGATTAATTAAACTTAGGGGACTGGATTTGTAATTATAAGATAATTGCAATTGGGCTATGGATTACCTAAATAATATAGGTTGGACGAATTCTATGGGAAGCCCATAAGGAAATTCGTCCAAGGGATATGTTAAAGGACTCCATGGGCTGCTTAGGGCTTAAGCAGCCAGATTAGGGTTTCCTAGTTGTAAACCCTAATAGCCTACATGTATATAAAGGACCCTTATGCCCCAAAAACGTGGTGAATACTTCCTTTAGGTTTTCCGGCCGTTTTTGGTGCCTCCTCTCTCCTCCCTCTTCATCCAAGTTGCTTAGTGGTGTTTGTGACTCCATTAGAGGTGCAACACTTGAGGCACTAAGCTTTCTGAAGCCAAGGATTGATTGTTATTGATATATAACAATCAAAGGTAAGATCTAAACCCTATTTTCAGTTATAGTTTATTAGATCTAGGGTTTATGGCTTTGGATTATCAATTGCATGTTCATTAGACAAACTAGATCCAAAGCTATTAGGGTTTGCATGTACACCATAGGAATGATGTATTGCTCGAAACCCATCAATTACACCATACATACAATGC